GGATCCCCGCTGGTGCTGGGGGAGGGGGCAGGCAGCAATACATGGCCTGGGATTCCTGCTTGTGCTGGGGGAGGGGGCAGGCAGCATCATGCAGCCTAGGACCCCAGAGGGTGCTAGGTGTGGCAGGGTTGGCGGGGCTGACAGGATCCCTACCCAGCTCTGTGTGTCCCTGCAGCTCCTAAGGGGAGGGAAGGCCAGAGCTGCCCCTGCATGAGCTCTGGCTCCGCAGCTCCCATTGGCTGGGAACCACAGCCAATGGGAGCTGCAGGGGCGGCATCTGCAAGCACGGGTAGCATGCAGAGCCCCCTGGCCCCTCCACCTAGGAGCTTCAGGGACATACCGGCCGCTTCCAGGGAGACACCTTCCCCCCACCCCCACCGAAGTAAGCACCAGCCTGCACACCAACCCCCTGCCCCAGCCCTGACCCCCCTCCCACTGCCAAACTGCTCCAGCAGCAGCTGGTGCAGCTGGCCCAGAGGCTGCCTGATTTGCCAGCCACACCAGCCACTGCAGAAGTCACGGAGGTCACAGAAAGTCACATAATCTGTGACTTCCATGACCTTCATTACAGACACACAGTCTTAATCATGAAGCACTGAACAAGTATCGTTAACATTCACTCTGAGGGGAAAAAAAGCTCTGATAGTGTACATGCTCGTTCAGATTTTCTCTTTGCCCCAAACACGTTTGTTCCTGGCAAACAGAGAACATGTTCTACATATTTATAGCCATGCATCTTAAATAAGTATTTTGGGTTCAGAAGAGCCTCAAATGTTGTGATTGATTAAATGAAGAGATGGCACATTTCAGGTGTCCCAGATGTTCCTAGGACACTGGGCTGTTATGGGTAAAATGCCTAAGTGAATTAAGTGCCTCTGTCATTTTTATAATGGAACAGGCACCTAAGTGAAAAACTGAAAAATTGGAACTGTCCTAGTAAACAGGGATATATGGTACTTTAGTCCCAGGGCATGCTTTCTACCTTGTGCAGACATATATACATAGACTGCCATCCTGATATGGTAGCATTCTGCACCCCCTGCACAAGATGGAAGGTAGAAGAGAATCAGGCCCCGCCCCTCCCCTGCCCTGCCCTGTCCCATCCTGCCTCGGAGTAGCCAGAAATGCTCCCTTATGTCCAGCACACAATCCCTTAGTAAATCCCTACAGTAAAGCCTGGGATATTAGCCAATTTCTTGCTGGGAACTGGGTATTATCAAAGGTTTGTTAATTATTTTTAATTAGAAGCTCTTCATTGTGTGTCAAGCTGGTCACTCTAATAAATTCTTCCGTTTCTTGAACCTGTTGCATAAGCCAGATCTCATCACTTCCATTCCAGCCCCTTCAGGACCAACATCTATTTAGTGAAAGTCTTCTAGTTCTAGAAAGGTTTCAGAGTAACAGCCGTGTTAGTCTGTATTCGCAAAAAGAAAAGGAGTACTTGTGGCACCTTAGAGACTAACCAATTTATTTGAGCATGAGCTTTCAAGGATGCTTTCAAGAAAGCTCATGCTCAAATAAATTGGTTAGTCTCTAAGGTGCCACAAGTACTCCTTTTCTTTTAGTTCTAGAAAATTGTTAATGATAACACAACAATCTTCCTGCTACGGGAGTAGATAAAACAGACCATACACTGTATCCCCTGGCTGGGATGATTTAGTTGGGGATTAGTCCTGCTTTGAGCAGGGGGTTGGACTAGATGACCTCCTGAGGTCCCTTCCAACCTTGATATTCAATGATTCCATGATAGCTAACTGCAGTTGTACCAGTCAGACACAAGAGGGCACACTTCTCTCTAAAAGTGACCTCTAATGTGACTCGAAAAGGAGGTGCCACAAGTATTCCTTTTCTTTTTGTGAATACAGACTAACACGGCTGTACTCTGAAACCTGTAATGTGACTAAAATCTAGTCCCTTGGATAATGTGTGCTCAATATAACTGGTTGAAATGTTTCAACTTAAAACAAATTTTGCTCCCCGCCCCCGGAAAAAAAAAAAAGGTGTTTTGAAGGAATGAAAATGTTTTGTGGAATCATGCTGGGTCCTTTGAAATTTCAAGTTTTTCTGTGAAAAATGTCAGCATTAAAAGACCTGAAGAAGAGCTCTGTGTAGCTCAAAAGCTTGTCTCTTTCACCAACAGATGTTGGTCCAATAAAAGATATTACCTCACCCACCTTGTCTCACTAACATTAAAAAAATGTTTTTATAGTGGGGGGGGAAGCACCCCACTTTCATTCACTTTTTTACCCTTCGCCACAATTTTTTTTCCAGTGCGGGGGAAAAAAAATAACAAAAGTGACAACTGGCTAAAATGAAACTTTTTGAAAACATGTTTTGAATTTTTTGTTTAAAAAAATGAAAAGTTTCAAATGAAACAATACATTTTCATCGCTTTCAATTTTTTTCTCAAAATAAAACCTTTCTTCAACCAGCTCCAGTGCTGAAGGCCTCAACAGCCATGATAAGGGTAGATCTACACTGAAAACACTAGAGTGGCTCAGCTGGTTCTGATTTGGTAGCATTTTACATCCACTTAGCACACAGGGAAATAACACCCAGTTCAAGACAGAGCATGTCTAGACTAGGATAACAAGTGTATTTTTTAAACATATCAAAATGTTTTAACAAACAAGTTGTAAAACTCTAATGGTGTATTAGGGCAAGTTGTATCTGAACATGTGTTAGCTGGTCAAAATGAACCCCAAAGGAGCTGAATAGCCTTGTAGACCTCCATCACAACTGTGTCACTGAAACTGGTTCCTGAGTACTGATAGTAATCTGGGGTGACATGCTTCCATAGTGGGATTGCCACTTGCTTCTCCATGCAGATGGATATTCTCATTCTGGTGTTCTTGTGCTTCAGGGCTAGGGCAAGCTCAGCCCACAATTCCAGGAACGTGACCTTTTGCAGCCCCTGTTGGCCCCCAAAGTGATCCAGTTCCACCATTCAGTGTTCATTGACCAGCCCAAAAGTGTTGGTCCACCAAGTATAACTACTCCAAAGCTAGATCTTACAGGAGTGCCTGAGCAACATCAAAGCACAGATTCTCTTATACCAGCTTGCTCAGCCTGCAGATTCCTCTAGCAAGCACAGTGCTGTGGCCACTGGATCTGCTTTCCTGTTGTAACAGTGGACAAGAACACACTGCATTCATTTGGCCCTCATCCTTGCTGGCAGAGATCAATTTGGAAATAGTGCAGGCACCAGTAAATTCTGGAATCCAGTGAAAGTGATATTGGACGTTTGACCTCTGCTCCCATAATTCCCTCAGGGCATGGCTACACTTGCAGACATAAAGCGCTTTGAGTTAAACCCGCCTTCGGAGAGTGCAGTAGGGAAAGCACTGCAGTCTATCCACACTGACAGGAACAAGCGCACTGGCGTAGCCACATTTGCAGCACTTGCAGTGGCATTAGGAGTGGTGCATTATGGGTAGCTATCCCACAAAGCACCTCTTCCCATTCTGGCGCTGTGGCTTGTCGGAAGGGGGTGGGGGGGCAGGGCATTCTGGGTCCTGTCCCAATGCCCCGTGATGCATCGGTTCGCATCCCAGCAATCCCTGTCCTTCCGTCCACATTTGGTGCTATCTTTCAACGTTTTTTGTACTGCGCGCTCAGTCTTCCCTTTTGGTCTGCGGGAATGGAGCCTGAATTGCTGAGGAGTACGCTGATGAGTCTCGCCAGAACGTCACATTTGGCAGTCAAGTTATTCCTCATGATCCACAGTGACAGTGAGGGCTCCGACAATGATATCGACTCGAGTAACGCATATAACACAAGTTTGCTTGTGGCATTCATGGACATGCTCACCAGCGTGGAACACTGTTTTTTGGCTTGGGAAACAAGCACTGAGTGGTGGGATCACATCGTCATGCAAGTCTGGGATGACGAGCAGTGGCTGCAAAACTTTCAGATGCGAAAAGCCACTTTCACGGGACTGTGTGAGGAGCTCACCCCCACCCTGCGGCGCAAGGACACAATATTGAGAGCTGCCCTGACAGTGGAGAAGTGAGTGGCTACTGCAATCTGGAAGCTGACAACTCCAGACAGCTACCGATTGGTCGCCAACCAGTTTGGAGTGGGAAAGTCGACCGTTAGAATCATGTTGATGCTAGATTGCAGGGCCATTAATCGCATCCTGCTCAGAAAAACCGTGACTCTGGGTAATATGCATGACATTGTGGATGGCTTTGCACAAATGGGTTTCCCTAACTGCGGAGGGGCAATAGATGGCACACATATTCCAATTCTGGCACCAGCCCACCTAGCCTCCGAGTACATTAACCAGAAGGGGTATTTCTATATGGTTCTCCAGGCGCTTGTGGATCACCGTGGGTGTTTCATTGACATTAACGCAGGCTGGCCCGGAAAGGTGCATGATGCACGCATCTTTTGGAACACTGGCCTGTTCAGGAAGCTGCAAGCCGGGACTTTTTTCCGAGACCAGAAGATCATCATAGGGGAAATTGAAATGCCCACTGTGATCCTTGGAGACCCCGCTTACCCTTTAATGAAACCCTACACAGGGAGCCTTGACAGCAGCAAGGAGTGGTTCAACAACAGGCTGAACCGGTGCAGAATGACTGTGGAGTGTCCTTTTGGCTGTTTAAAGGGCCGCTGGTGCTCTCTGTATGGGAAGCTGGACCTGGCTGATGACGGCATCCCTGCAGTTATATCTGCGTGTTGTACCCTCGATAACATTTGTGAAGGGAAGAGTGAACAATTCGCTCAGGTATGGAACTCGGAGGTTCAACACCTGGAGGATGAATTTGAACAGCCAGAGAGCAGGGCTATTAGAGGGGCCCAGTGCAGGGCTGCAAGAATTAGGGTTGCCTTGAGGGAGCAATTTGAGGCTGAAAGCCACCAGTAATGTATGATGCCCTGCACAGGAGTGAAGTGCACTGGTTCCAATGTTAGTAGGAATCTATGTTTGCTACACTGACTTGCAGTGCATGTTTCTTTCCTGGGCTATCTTTTACTTTATGCAATAATAAATAATGTTTTCAAAGCCAAAAAATCCATTTATTGAAAAGACACACAACTGCTTCGGAAACAAAAAGAGCAAGGGGGTGGGGTAGAGAACGGTACAATCACAGATTTGCATATGTCCTGTTATCTATCATACTCAGCCTTCCTGTCTCGAGTGTTCTGCAATGAGTGCTACACTTCAGGATGGCTATACTGCCTGGTGATGGGGGTTGAGTGCAGTGGGTAAGGGTCGTAGTTTTCAGGGCTGGGTGGTGAAGCTACAGGTGTTGGAGCTGGTGATGGTAAGAACCCGGATGTTTGGGAAGGTGGGTTGGAGGTGACATGGGGGCACAAGGGAAAGAGTTTTGGGACAAGGGCTGCAGGGGTGGTCGGGCACAGTAGTGCTCCACCTGCATGGCTACAAGCGCCTGGATCGAGTCTGCTTGGCGCTCCATTATGCTTATCAGCCAATCCGTGCTTTGCTGCTGGAGCACTGCGCTTTTGTGCCAGCATTCCTCATTCTGCTGGCGGATCCTCCTTTCACTGTCCTGCCACTCCTGCACTTTTCAATTTTCATTACTTGAATGCCACATTATTTCATGCAACATGTCTTCCTTGCTTCTACTTGGCCTCTTTCTGATTCTTTGGAGACTTTTGGCCAGTGATAACACGGACGGCTGAGATCTCAAGGTTGCATCTGTAAAGGCAAAATGCAATACTTAACAGAGGCAGCATTGTTCACACCAGACAGAGCAATGATTCCCCCGTACTTAAGGGCAAGCACAGTATACACAATAGCATAATTTGCCTGTCCCAAAGCAAGCACACATAACCCACGGGAGCCCCAAAATGGTGAGTAAGCACAGGGTCAAGCATGACTGATTGTTTCACAGCTGTACTGTCCTCTGGGTTTCTGTGCCTTGGGGAGAGCCATCAGCGGCAGGGGGCCCCTAAACAACAGACTGGACTTCTACATAGAGTGCTTCCGCCAACATGCACGGGCTGAAATTATGGAAAAGCAGCATCACTTGTCCCATAACCTCAGCCGTGCAAAACACAATGCCATTCACAGCCTCAGAAACAACTCTGACATCATAATCAAAAAGGCTGACAAAGGAGGTGCTGTCATCATCATGAATAGGTCAGAATATGAACGAAAGGCTGCTAGACAGCTCTCTAATACCACATTCTACAAGCCATTATCCTATGAACCCACTGAGGGTTACCAAAAGAAACTACACCATCTACTCAAGAAACTCCCTGAAAAATCACAACAACAAATCTGCACAGACACACCCCTAGAACTCCAACCAGGGGTATTCTATTTGCTACCCAAGATCCATAAACCTGGAAATCCTGGATGCCCCATTATCTCAGGCATTGGTACCCTGAAAGCAGGATTGTCTGGCTATGTAGACTCCCTCCTCAGGCCCTACACTACCAGGACTCCTAGCCATCTTCGGGACACCACTGACTTCCTGAGGAAACTACAATCCATTAGTGGTCTTCCAGAAAACACCATCCTGGCCACTATGGATGTAGAAGCCCTCTACACCAACATTCCACACAAAGATGGACTACAAGCCATTAGAAACAGTATCCCTGATAATGTCACAGTAAACCTGGTGGCTGAACTTTGTGACTTTGTCCTCACCCATAATTATTTCACATTTGGGGACAATGTATACCTTCAAGTCATGCTATGGGTACCCGCATGGCCCCACAGTATGCCAACATTTTTATGGCTGACTTAGAACAACCCTTCCTCAGCTCTCGTCCCCTAATGCCCCTACTCTACTTGCGCTACATTGATGACATCTTCATCATCTGGACCCATGGAAAAGAAGCCCTTGAGGAATTCCACCATGATTTCAACAATTTCCATCCCACCATCAACCTCAGCCTGGACCAGTCCACCCAAGAGATCCACTTCCTGGACAGTACAGTGCTAATAAGTGATGGTCACATAAACACCACCCAATATTGGAAACCTACTGACCGCTATACTTATCTATATGCCTCCAGCTTTCATCCAGACCGCACCACATGATCCATTGTCTACAGCCAAGCTCTAAGATACAACCGCATTTGCTCCAACCCCTCAGACAGAGACAAACACCTACAAGATCTCTATGAAGCGTTCTTACAACTACAATACCCACCTGCTGAAGTGAAGAAACAGATTAACAGAGCCAGAAGAGTACCCAGAAGTCACCTCATATAGGACAGACCCAACAGAGAAAGTAACAGAACGCCACTAGCCGTCACCTTCAGCCCCCAACTAAAACCTCTCCAGCGCATCATCAAGGATCTACAACCTATCCTGAAGGATGATCCCTCATTCTCACAGATCTTGAAATACAGGCCAGTCCTTGCTTACAGACAGCCCCCAAACCTGAAGCAAATGCTCACCAGCAACCACACAACAGAAACACTACCCAGGAACCTATCCTCGCAACAAAGCCCGTTGCCAGCTCTGTCCACATATTTATTCAGGGGACATCATCATAGGACCCAATCACATCAGCGACACTATCAGAGGCTTGTTCACCTGCACATCTACCAATGTGATATATGCCATCGTGTGCCAGCAATGCCCCTCTGCCATGTATATTGGCCAAACTGGACAGTCTCTACGTAAAAGAATAAATGGACACAAACCAGATGTCAAGGATTATAACATTCAAAAACCAGTCGGAGAACACTTCAATCTCCCTGGTCACTCGATTACAGACCTAAAAGTCGCAATACTACAACAACAAAACTTCAGAAACAGACTCCAATGAGAAACTGCTGAATTGGAATTAATTTGCTAATTGGACACCATTAAATTAGGCTTGAATAAAGACAGAGTGGATGGGTCATTACACAAAGTAAAACGATTTTCCCATGCTTATTTATTCCCCCTACTGTTACTCACACCTTCTTATCACCTGTTGGAAATGGGCCATCCTGATTATCACTACAAAAGGTTTTTTTTTTCTCCAGCTGATAATAGCTCACCTTAACTGATTACCTCATGGCACAGTGGCGCAGACAAGTTAGCCTTACTGGGACAACAAACACAGTAGCTCTCCTGAGAAACCTGCGCAAGCGCTTTGCCCAAGTTCTGGATGAGATCTTTGAAGAGATCACTGAGGCTGATTACCGCAATGTGAGAGAGCACATCAACGCCCTATTCTGCATCTAGGCATGCATGCAGCCCTAACCCTCCTCACCCCAAGACCCCGCACAGAATAACTTCCTTCCCAGAATAAAAGCCGCTTACCGGGAACCTCCTCTGGTGTTTGTCCTTCCCCATGCACCGGCCACCGCGACTGGCTACCTTCCTCCTGGCTTGAGAACAGCTCCTGGCTGCATGCATCTAGGGATTCCGACATGTCTTCCTCCACCTCAGCACCCTCGCTCCCACTTTGCTGCTGCTCCTCCTCCTCCTGCCTTGTTGAACTGGACTCTGAAGAGTCCATGTTGGTACTTGGAGTGGAGGTGGGGTCGCCCCCAAGTATTGCATCCAGCTCTTTGTAGAAATGGCAGATTGCAGAGGCAGCACTGGAGCGGTGGTTTGCCTTATGGGCTTTGGGGTAAGCATTCCACAGCTCCTTCATTTTAATCCTGCACTGCAGTGCGTCCCGGTCATGGCCCCTTTCCATCATGTTCCTTGAAATCTGCCCGAAGATATCGTAATTCCTACGGCTGGTGTGCAGCTGGGACTGGACAGCTTCCTCCCCACAAACACTGATGGGGTCCAGCACCTTGCCATTGCTCCATACTGCGGATCGCCTGGCACATGGAGGCATGGTCACCTGGAAAGATTCACTGAGAGCACTCCACGCCTGGCTGAGCAAACAGGAAGGGGATTTTCAAAATTCCCAGAGAATTTAAAGGGCAGGTCTGACAGTTGGTCACCTGAGGACAGGGCAGTAGAGTTCAAAGTGATGACCAGAGTGGCTAGAACAGGCATTGTGGGACACTTCTGGAGGCCGATCAGAGCGCACTAACAGACCATGGTGTCCACACTGGCACCACGGCACTCCAGTGGGGGCACAGCAAATGTTATTCCACTCGCCAAGGTGGAGTACCAAAAGCGCTCTAGCTGCGGAGTCAGAGCGCTCTACGTGCCTTGCAGTGTGGATGGGTAGTGAGCTAGTGCGCCTGGGGCTCCTTTAATGCGCAGTAACTCGCAAGTGTAGCCAAGCTCTCAGATACCGTAGGTATCCCACAGTCCACAGCAAGTTTCCCAGAATGCAGTGGGCACAGAGGCAGTGCAAGGTACTTTGTGTTATCCATTCAGAATGTTAAATTAATGCTGCATGCATGATTTCCTGTGAACAAAAGCCTTGAAATGCGATGTCACTAATGCAATGCAAGCTTAACAGTGTGAATGCACTCAGCTGAAATAGGTCTGTTGATTTAACTTATACTGTAACTTCTGTGTGTAGGCAGCACTAAGATAGACAAGCCCTCAGTATCAGAATGGCACTGGGCTGATGACCAGTGTTTAAGATTTCAATGGAGCATTTCAACACAATTTCTTATTAATGTAATAGCTTGAACTGACTTCCTCTTTGTTTGCAAGATAACCACAGCCATACTGGCAAAGGCTAAACAACTGGGCCAACCACTTGCTCAACACCCAGAATGAAGGACTGAGGCAATGGGAATTAGCTGTTTCTGGGGGGAAAGTCAAGTACTAGTTCTTGTAATAAAGCTGGCTTTGTGACAAGACTGGCTTCGAGCTGGACTGGAAACAGTTTTCCTGTCCCACCAACCCCACCCCCCCAACACACACACACACAAAAAAACCACCAAGATTGTTAAAAAAAATTCCCATCCCAAATCAGGAAGAAGAATTGAAATCTCAAAAAATGTGATTAACCAACAAATAACTATAAATTCAGATACACTGAAACATTTTATTTCTGTAATTTCCATTTTGACTTTTTTTAAATTTAAAATTAGCTTAAATTTCAAAACAAAGTTGCTTTAAAGTGGAAAACTGGAATTCTTCATTTTGGAAGTGTCAAAAGGAACCAACTTGACAATTTCAAAACTTTTTTTTTATTTTTCAAGTTGAAAAATTCATCAAAACTGACTCTTTCCTGTGGAAAGTGTCTGTTTAGACAGATTGATATTTTCCAACAAATAAATATTGTGGCAAAAAATTCTCAACCAGCTCTAGTGACTGTTAATGTGTTTGGGGCCGAGTTAAACTCGCAGCGACCTAACCCTTGTCTACAATATACTTGTCACTGAGTCATCAGCTTTCTGTCCAAATTGTCCCAAGACAAAAAGGATTCATCTACACTTCAGTTTTAATCCAGTGAGGAGACTTGCTTACAAACACAGCTTTCCCTAGTTTCATTACAACACAGTTGTTCTCTGACCCAGTTACAACACAGCTCATATGTTGAGCACAGACAGGATTTAACCTTGTCCTTGTAACTGGGCTAACATCTTGGCCGGTCCTTGCAACATTTTGACCCTGTTGCAGCTGAGTCAGGGACCAACTGTGGAGTAACTGGGTCCCCTGACTCAGGCCATGCCTACTACGGGGACTATACTCTGGCATAACCTCATAGTGTAAATGCAGCCAAGAGTGACAGAAGGGGTTTATCTATCTCTGTAGGAACACCACCTCCCCAAACGACAGTACCCAGGAGGACAGAAGCATTCTTCCATCTATCTAGCTGCATCTACACCAGGGGTTAGGTCGATTTAACTACAGCTGAAGCTGCTGAGACCCGCTGTTTTTGCTGGAGTTCTGAAAATAGACCCACTCTTGTGAATTGCTTGCGTCAATCAAATTTTGCATCAAATTAATTTTCCATCAAAATTCTTGTTCAAGAGCATATATGCTTGAGAATAATATAGGCTATAAATTCTGGGCCCAGTTCTCCACGGACTGGGTAGGAATAGCGGTCAGTAGGTTTCCGGTATAGGGTGGTGTTTATGTGGCCATTGTTTATTAGCACTGTAGTGTCCAGGAAGTGGATCTCTTGTGTGGACTGGACCAGGCTGAGGTTGGTGGTGGGATGGAAATTGTTGAAATCATGGTGGAATTCCTCAAGGGCTTCTTTTCCATGGGTCCAGATGATGAAGATGTCATCAATGGCCACATAAACACCACCCTATACCGGAAACCTACTGACCGCTATTCCTACCTGCATGCCTCCAGCTTTCACCCTGACCACACCACACGATCCATCGTCTACAGCCAAGCTCTGCGATACAACCGCATTTGCTCCAACCCCTCAGACAGAGACAAACACCTACAAGATCTCTGTCAAGCTTTCTTACAACTACAATACCCACCTGCAGAAGTAAAGAAACAGATTGATAGAGCCAGAAGAGTTCCCAGAAGTTACCTACTACAGGACAGGCCTAACAAAGAAAATAACAGAACGCCACTAGCCGTCACCTTCAGCCCCCAACTAAAACCCCTCCAACGCATTATTAAGGATCTACAACCTATCCTAAAGGATGACCCAACACTCTCACAAGTCTTGGGAGACAGGCCAGTCCTTGCCTACAGACAGCCCCGCAACCTGAAGCAAATACTCACCAACAACCACATACCACACAACAGAACCACTAACCCAGGAACTTATCCTTGCAACAAAGCCCGTTGCCAATTGTGCCCACATATCTATTCAGGGGACACCATCACAGGGCCTAATAACATCAGCCACACTATCAGAGGCTCGTTCACCTGCACATCCACCAATGTGATATATGCTATCATGTGCCAGCAATGCCCCTCTGCCATGTACATTGGTCAAACTGGACAGTCTCTACGTAAAAGAATAAATGGACACAAATCAGATGTCAAGAATTATAACATTCATAAACCAGTTGGAGAACACTTCAATCTCTCTGGTCACGCAATCACAGACATGAAGGTCGCTATCTTAAAACAAAAAAACTTCAAATCCAGACTCCAGCGAGAAACTGCTGAATTGGAATTCATTTGCAAATTGGATACTATTAATTTAGGCTTAAATAGAGACTGGGAGTGGCTAAGTCATTATGCAAGGTAGCCTGTTTCCTCTTGTTTTTTCCTACCCCCCCCCCCCCAGATGTTCTGGTTTAACTTGGATTTAAACTTGGAGAGTGGTCAGTTTAGATGAGCTATTACCAGCAGGAGAGTGAGTTTGTGTGTGTATGGGGGTGGGGGGGATGTGAGAAAACCTGGATCTATGCAGGAAATAGCCCGACTTGATTATGTAAAGAGTTGTCACTTTGGATGGGCTAGCACCAGCAGGAGAGTGAATTTGTGTGGGGGGTGGAGGGTGAGAAAACCTGGATTTGTGCTGGAAATGGCCCACCTGTTGATCACTTTAGATAAGCTATTACCAGCAGGACAGTGGGGTGGGAGGAGGTATTGTTTCATATTCTCTGTGTGTATATAAAGTCTGCTGCAGTTTCCACGGTAAACATCTGATGAAGTGAGCTGTAGCTCACGAAAGCTCATGCTCAAATAAATTGGTTAGTCTCTAAGGTGCCACAAGTACTCCTTCACTTTGTACAGTGTAAATGACAATGCAAAGGCTGCATCCAGACTAGGAAAACACGTTGTGTTAGAATGTGTTCATAACAGGTTTTAACTAACAGGATTTTAAACAGAATTTTGTGCATAGTAAAGACAGTAAACACAGAGTTAAAAAAATACACTGGTCATGGTTGGTTTTAGGGTTTGTTATACAGTGCTTGTGACTGTTGCCAGTTGGCGTGCGTGCTTTCTCCGTGTGCTGTCTCAGCTCTACGCAGATAGCTAGCCCAGCAGACCTTGACAGTAATACCCAGAAAGACCACAGATTCGGTTCAGTGGCAAAGGTGCTCAGCCAGGTTTATTGCCCTCAAGACACAGTACTAGCTTCCTGGGTCAGTATTTACAGGTGCACTAACACACCGCGTACCCAGTGGCAAGGACTCAGCTCAGCCAGCAGTGGAACTTTTTGCTGCCCCCTAGGCTGAAAAAGGGTTACGGCGAGATACGCCCCTATTCAACACCTGTCTTTGCACTTTACTCCTTATGTTTCAGACAAAACATCACTATTCATCACTTCCGTCAAACCATTTATCTTGTGCTTGGTTGGGGTGTAGTTGTGCTAGTCGGGAATGTGTTTACATATTCAGTTTGCTTTAGCAATGTGCCTAGTTCATGTAACAGACAGTGACCTTGCAGGCAAGCATCTGCTTTTTTGACAGGGCCTGACTTTTGCTTATTGCATAACTTTTGCTGGCTTTGGTTCAGGCTTCAGGCCTTGCACCAGGCGCCATGCTCCAGACTCTCTCTTTCTACTGCAGTGAGAATCAGACTGCAAAAGGGCCATTACTTCAGAGTGACCTGAACTTGACTCAGTAGGGTCAGATTCTCAGCTGGTGTATATAGGGGTTGCTCCACTGACTTAATTTAAGCTTTGCTGATTTATGGCAGCTGAGAATCTGATCCAATTCTAAGACTTAAAGTTCCTTTTACTCTACATGTGGTGTAGAGTCCTTATTGTGAACGACAAACAGTCAGGCCTGCTTACATTTAGAAACTATCTTGTGACCATTGGATGATCCTGTCCTCATCACCTCTTTCTGACCCCCAAGCTGTTTACCATCTTGTTTCCTGAGTTTGTGTATTACCCTCGTGCTGCACTTAACTCTAGATCTGTCCGCTTCCAGGTTTACATTTTTCCAGTTATCTTGCATGTCATTGTCCGGGAGTGCAGTTGGGGTCTTCCTGGGGTGCTGGCAACCAGTGATAATGATTCTACAGCAGGAACATTAGTTAACAACTCTGTAGATAGCATGTGAGTCAGAACAGACTCCAGTTCATCTCTGCATTG